CTTGGCTTAACTGCATCAATATCATAAGAGGTGATCCTTCCACCTGTATTGATTAAATTTCTTAGTCATGGCAAAGATACATGGAAAAACTGAATCCGGTTCAGTTACAGTAATGACAAGGATACTAGAAACCATAAGGCACAACTAAAGAAATTTACTTGCTAAACACAATCCTAATGGTACTTGGTATAAAAAGCTCTGATGCCCAAGGACTTGCTCTTTTTAAAACGGAGGACAGGATAAAAATCAGTGGATTAATATTAAAAGGAAGGAACTTCATTTTGAATATTCAGAGGAATTTCCTGATGGTAAGGGCTATTAAATAGTTGAAAAGTCTGTGCAGAACAATGATACACTTCTGTTTTGGGAAAATGCCCAACTTGGGTTGGATATAGCAAATGTAAGTTTAGTAAATTCTTACAGTGGATTAAACTAGGTGACCTTTTGGTGTCCTTCCAACTCACACTTTCGATTTCATTTTTAGTAAGTATGTATGCAATTGGTCATAAATTGTGGTCATAAAGGGAGGGGGAGAATAATAATTCCATTTTATAAACAATGAGTGAAAGATTTTTCTATGCTACAAAGAGAAATCAAATGCAATCTCTTTCGTTCTAAGTCATCACCAGCTATCCTGCCCAGTCCCATTTGTTCAATATTTATTAATTTTAAAACATGTTTTCCCATCATGTTTTTTCTTCATTTTTCATTACACTTCTTTTGATTTCTACTGAAGGATGACTAACAAGCAAACACAGGGATTCCCGTTCGTTTGCCCAAGTTTTCTTCTACATCATCGTTCCTATAACTTTTATTTTCCTGGAAGAGCAGTGAGAAATTTTCCTCTTCCGCTCACCCCCCCCCGCCCCCCCCAGACGATTGCAGGATTAAATCTTGGCGAAAGTTATCGGCCTCGGATTGATCGGCCTCTCTGCTGAAACTCGGCAAAAGAATCGCAGAGCGAGAATGTCATTGGTATGCTGAAACTTGATCTGCTCATCTCAAAACCAAATCGATATCTGATGGGAATTCCAGGATATCATATTTGAACCCAGCCGAAAGGATCCCACTTTCGGTAAAGCCCCTTTTCTACTTAGCAGATACTCCCGCCCACTTTCCATTTTCTGGCAGTGACGCGTCTGTACACGTCGCGCTGGGTGCCGTAAGAATTCACCCTTCTCCTCCAGACCGCGGTAGCTACTGGGTCCTAGAACGTGCCGGTTCGTTTCGATAGCAGTTTGTGAGAATATACACAGCGATGGCAAAGAAATAAACAGCCGGCAGGAAGCAAATGTTACGATTTTTTTTAAAAAAATGCCTATCCCACGATTTTTAAATGGGGGCCGTCTAAAGACACAATCCCTTTTCGAATCACATCCAATATGCAAAGAATCACTAGCAAACCATAGTTCTTAACTATGTTGTGGGCCACTCTGAAATAATTTTGTTTAGTTTAGTTTAGTTTATTGTCATTGCACCTCGTACAACGAAATCAAACACGATCTTCAGTGCACATCATGATCAGGACCATGAAAATAAACACAAACACACATCCCTCACCCTTCACACATTGAACCGAAAACCACCACACCAAGACTACTATACAGCAGAATTCAAAAGAGCTACTGCCCTGGGATGGAAGCTGTTTTTCAACCTATTTGTCCTTGTTTTTATTATTCTGTACCATCCGCCAGATGGTAATAGTTCAAAAAAAAGGGTTGCCAGGATGAGATGGATCTTTGAGCATGTGGAACCAGAATCGGGACACAGAATTTTGTATTTTATGTGGGAACTTTTTTGTATTTTGTCTGGGAACCAATGGCAGTTATTATCAAAACAGACCATATTTGTATGCAAAGCCATGAAGTATGATTATTTTTTTACTATTTACGGATTTTATTTCTGGTGCTGCCATGGATATGGATGCTAGGTATAGATCCTCATGATTTCCTGTAGATTTGCTCACATGGAAAAGTTAGATCACATTTGCTTGCACAAAGTAAGCAATTAAAATCATTATTAGAAAAAAGAACACCCTCCAAGATTGGCAAAATTGAATCCTCATGATTTTGCAGGATAGCCACCTGCTATTTCTGTTAAAACAAAAAACACATACGGGGCACCCAGAATAAGCCATTAGAACCACAGTAAAATTTCCAGCTATGTAGGACAAGTACCAGAATTGCTAGATAGAATTCCCATATAATTCAGAAAACATCAAGTGTGGAACAAGTTGATATCAATCTAGAATAGACTTTTGAAATCTACAAAGAACTAATAACAAACATCTTAGTTCTAAATCCAATACTCTGAAAATAAATGAAGAATTAAATGTAATAAGGAGAAATGTGGGCTATTACATTTTAATAAAGGATAAGAGAAACAGGAAAGGGTCCAAAGAATAGCAGGGATGATCAGAGGATTGGGAAGAAATTTCTGAAAAGGTGTCACAAATTATCTGTGTAACTCTCTTTACTTGGGGCCACCTTTGAAGGCTTCTGGGAAATTGCAGATAACAGAGAACAAGATTTTGCATTGGGTGCCACTGTTCAAAGTCTTTGATGATTGATCCCTAGACAGTTGCACAATTGTCTTCTTTGAACTGAATGTACCTGCCCTGTGATTTAATCAAGAGAAGTTGCTTAAGAAGTAAGAAGGGAAATGATTCTAGACCTTTTAAATGACTATCTCTATACTGAATTTCAGATTACATTCATGATGGACATCTTGAGAAAAACTGTCCAAAATGAGAAATGAGATGGTTTTCCATAAAACTGAAAAGAGTTCAAATGGAATATTACTGTGCATACATCGTACAAACCATTTTTTCTGCTCTTCTGTTTTTTTTTTAAACAAAAGTATTTATATGGTAAGATAAGCAAATTTTGAATAAAGGAACACATTCCCTGTAACTGATAGTAATTACTTTTAGATGAGTTATATGTCCATATTACATTCAGTCTTCACATTTTAATAAACAGTTGGTGTATATGTGGTTTTTTTTTAAAAAAAAACCATTAGTTTTGTACAAATGTATTATGTTCTGGAAATTTCTTGAAATTTACCTAAGGCTAATCCTTTGTCACTTTTCAGGACATCTAATTTGCTGTGTTGAGTAACCTTGATATGCTTTGGAATGGGTAGGACAGAAATCATGTCTATAATTATGCTGAGCGAAATGCAGGATATTGGAAGAACAGAAATGGCAGCTCCTAGCTATACCTCACTCCTGGCTCCTGTAAATTATCTGCTATCTTAAGAATTATAGCAGATACAATTGTATCTCATTGTTGAAATAGGATTCAATTATCAGTTCAGTGGGATGGGGAGTGCGGATGCCACTAGCAAATCTATTTCAGTAGCAGCTTAGCTGATATCCACAATTATATAGAATGGCCAACATACAGTTCTCCAGATACTGGCCCCAAACCCCCATAATCCTCACAGTTGCCATCATTTTATATATGTACATATACACTATGATGTGTGTGTGTGTATTGGCAGCTATGGTGCTGGAGAAGGCTCCTGCATATTCCTTGGACAGCAAAGGGGACTAACAAGCAAGTACTGATGGAAATTTATGAAGGAGAGTTCCAATCTAGAAATAAGGAAACATTTCCTGACAGTGAGAACAATTAATCAATGGAATTGCTTGCCTTCAGAAGTTGTGGGTACTCCATCATTACAGGTTTTTAAGATGAGATTGGACAGTGATTTGTCTGAAATGATCAGATCTCCTGCTTAAGCAAGGGGTTGCACCAGAAAACCTGCAAGGTCCTTCTAACACTTCTCTTCTTTTTTCTTCTATTCTATTCCATTCATTAGAACTGATGGTCTCCCAGCCTGATGCCTTACTCCAAACTGATTCTGTTTGTAAAGGTTATGTTTATTTACATTTATTGCATTAAAATTAAATTTATTTATTTATTTAAAAGATTTGTACGGGTTGCTCATGTTAAACAGAGCTCTGGACACCTCTCAAAATTAATGCATTCGCTGCTGCTACTGCTTTTTACTGTTTGATGGGATTTTAATATTGTATTATTTTTCAACATAAGCTGGCAAATAATTTTGATTTTAAGAACCCCTGAGAGGATCTTGGGGACTTCCAGACATACCACTTTTAAGAATGGTAGAAGGGATTAGAGACGATGCATATTTGTTTTGTCTGCTTCCTCACTTTCTTTTTTAATATAATCCCATAGGTCTATTTATTGCAAGATGCTGCCCGGTGCTTTTGCCATCCAGAACAGAATAGGCACCATGCTAGAAACCAGGAACCTGAATTCTAATCTCCTTTACAAATGGGGGTCCCCCTCTTTAGGCATGAATGCCACCTGGCTGACTTTGGGCCAGTCACTTTTTCTCAGCCTCAGGACTGAGTCAATGGCAACCATATCTGAAAATCTTGGCAAGAAAATTGCAAAGATTTATCCAAGCATTTTGCAGCAAGTAGCACTGACTCAAAAGGCACATACTGAAAAAGAATACGTAATTAGTAAATTAAGAATGAGTGAGCTTGGTGCATCAGATGAGAAGGCAGGAGATTGTGAGTTCTAGTTCCCCCTTAGGAATGAAAATCGAGCCAGTCTGTCCAATCTATTTCACAGGACTGTTTTTTTTATGGGGAAAATAGAGGAAGGCGTATTTAGAGTTACTTATACAAAATTATAAAATCGGGATATAAACCAAGCAACAAACAAAAAAGGTAAATCCTGAATTTGAATAAGATAGAAGCCGCAGTGGCAACAGTTTGAAAAAAAATTTTTTTTTAAAGCCAAATCCCAATTTTTTCCTTATTTTTTAATGCGCCCTGCCCGGCGATGCAGTACAAGGGGGGGGGGGGAAAGGCTGACGTAGGGCAGCCCTCTTCGCTTGAAGTCTTGGAATAGAGATATATCCGTTTAAGAAATAGAATATCCTGGAGTCAAAACAAAACATAAAACACCTTGAAGTCCGTAAGCTTCACCTCGTAGCGTTCAGTGCGCCTGCTCCGGGGCAGTTCCCGGCGCATGCGCAGAGCGGTGGCGTCTTCGTAGGGGACCGGAGAACGCTGGCGGCTCGGCGGGTCAGTCAGCATCCAGCGGGGGCGTCGTCTTCGTCGCCGATTTCGGATGTAACGCGGGGGCTGCGACAACGACTTGGAAATCCCCGCCGCCAAGGCTGGAGAAGAGGGCATATGCCGGGCAGGGAGTGAGAGTGGGGTGGTGGTGGCCCGCACCCGCTTTTCTTCGGGGAGTCGTCTGAAGGGGTGAGTGGTGGAGGGAAGCGGGGCTGTGCCTGCGTTGCGTTTCAGCTGGTGGCTCCGGGATGGGGGGGGGGGAGGGAGAGAGAGGGAGAGGGGGAGGGGGGGGGGGGGGGGGGCGGTCGGACGGGAAAGAAGCGGGGCAGCGGGGAGGGGGGCAGCCCCTTCTTCTCTCGACCCACCCACCGCGGGGCAAAGTCTGGAGCTGTCTCCCCGCGACCCTCCCCGCTCCGAGGAGGAGCGAGGCTTCATCAGACACCCACCCACCCGCTTTCGCCTTCCCTGCGCGGCGGCGCGGGCGTTCGCCTGCCTCGCAAGCCCTTCCTCCCTTCCGCTCCATTTTGCTTCCCACCACACCACGCACACCCCACACATCTCCTCCCGCGGGAGGGTAGGGCTGTCTTTTTTCTTTTTTCTTTTTGCTCCGAAGGCGGTAGCTTTAATGCGGGGTTAGGGAAGAACCAGGTGATAGGAGGACTCCTCGGGTCGGGGTGGGGTGGGAGGAATGGGGTTGGTGTGATAAGCTTAGGAGCGAAAGATAAGAAGACGACGACGACAGAGAATAAGAGAGAGAGAAAAGGAAGCGAAGCCGCTTCCTTCCCTTTTTACGTGTGAAATTCTCATCCTGGTAGCTGTAAACAGCCCCTCCGATGGCTTCTGGCAGACATCCTGTTTATAAAAGTTGTACTTCGGAACGCTGCTTGCTTCCAAGTATCTTTCCCTCTCCTCCGCGCTTCCTTCCCGCTCCCACCCCCAACCCTCTCAATTTCTTCATGTTTTCTTGGACTTCGCCCCAAGAGGATCAATTCTGATCATGGTTGCAGGTTGTCCGGTTTTTTGTTTTTTCCCGGTGACCAGGGTGAGGAGAGTTGGTCTTCACTAACTGACAGCACCGCGCATTTAAGAAATCTATTTTAAGCTTTTGCAACCATTTCCCCCTCTTGGTTGCATAGTTTTGCCTTATGTGCTCGGAAGTCAACCATGTTTGGCTTGTTGTATGCTGTAGCAGTAGCACTTAGATGGTACTTAGTAGCACTTATATCCCGCTTCGCAGTGCTTTACAGCCCTTTCTTAAGCGGTTTACAGAGTATGCAGAATATTCCTTAAGCATATTGCCCCCAATGATCTGAGTTCTTATTTTACTGACCTCAGAAGGATGGAGTCAACCTGGAGACCCGAACTGCTGGCAATCAGCAGAAGTAGCTTGCAGTACTACATTCTAACCACTGCACCACCACTGCTCTAGTAAGGAAGGGGATAAATTAAAAAGAGTAAATATGGTGCAGGTAGTCCTCAATTTACAATCACAATTGGGCGCCAAATTTCTGTTGGTAAGTGAAACCCTTGTTAAGTGAGCTTTGCCTCATTTTATGACCTTTCTTGGCACAGCTGTTAAGTAAACCATTGCAGTTGTTAAATTAGTAGTATGGTTAAGTGAATCCAGCTTCCCCATTGACTTTGCTTGTCAGAAGGTCATAAAAGGTGATCACATGACCCTGCGGGACATTGCAAGTGTCATAAACATGAACCAATTGTCAAGCATCTGAATTTTGATCATGTGATCATGGAGATGCTGCAGTGGTCATAAGTGTGAAAAACTAAGTCACTTTTTTCAGTTCCCTAACTTCAAACGGTCACTAAATGAACTGTTGTAAGCCGAGGATTACCTGTATATCAAATGCTCCTGCCTTTTGGAGGAGCATCCCTCCCTCCAAGTTCAATCAGTCTACCTGCCTTTAAAGTTCTGAGGGACTTTTTTTTCCCAAGTATTGAGTGTGGGAGTAAGTGAGCTTCTGGGTGAATGGTATTTTAGTTGATTTTTCTTCCAGGATTTATGTGTTTCTATATTGTAGCACTTCTATATTGCCTTGCATTGTGGTTTTTACACTTTGTTTTGTTATTGATTTCTACTGTTATTTATTTATTTATGTATTGATTTTTACTGTTATTTATGATGTATACTCCCTGAATTATATGCAAAATAGCTTTAATAATTTAAAAAAAAAAACCACTGGGAAATTCCTTACATATAGTGAGAGAAAGGAAAGATATCAACCCAGAACAAATGGAGGGAAAATAATAAGGAAAAAGGAAACAATGCCTTCTCAGTGTTGCAGACTATGAATTTTGTCATGGAAAAAAGGCTCCATAATAACTTAGTCCAAATATAAAAGAAACCATTTGTCTAATGTAGAAAATGATGCATGAATGGTACATTCAACTCTGGGATGTCTTTTCCAATTTGTAAAACTTGGCTTGGCTTGGAGATTGGTTTATCGATTGAAAAGTAGAGGAGGGCAACTAAAAAAAATACCTGTGACGTAAACGCCTACTCCATATGTGCTTATATGTAAGGCCATGATGTAAATAAAAAGTATGGGGTTTGTGTTGTGACATTACACTACAAATGTCATCGTTTTGCGGTTGTCACGGCTATCTGCAAATGCTAGTATTAAAATTAGCAAATATTAAAATAGCGTTGCTAATTGGTAGAAAATGGCAGAATTGAGTATTAGTTTATAGTTGTTGTTTTTTTTTAAAAAAAACTTTTTCCTGTCTCTTTAATTTTTCCCCAGTATAAATTATTTGAAAATTAAATGATTGAATACAGAAACCAGGAACTCTTCCTATAGACATCTTCTAAAAAAGTTTATTTCTATACAAGATCTCTTGAAATATGGGGGCTTTTTTTCTTGGGTACTTTGCGCTTTCCTTTAAGTCAGTATTGACTCCTAGTGACTGCAAGGACAAGTCCCTGCAGTTTTTTTGGCAAGATTTTCGGAAGTGATTTGCCATTGCCTAGGGCTGAGTGAGAGTGACTAGCCCAAGCTGCCTTTGCCTAAAGGGAGACTGGAACCACTATCTCATGGGTTCTAGCTTTATTCTTTAACCACTACACCAAATGTAATTATAATTGACCATAAAATGTTATTTTGCTGTGACTAAAAGTATAACCCACATCCTTTGAGCTTCCTGTCTATTCAAGTATGCATGTATAATTTATATCAATACGAAGAATGGCTGTATGTCACTACCCATGTTTTCCTGAAAATAAGACCGGGTCTTATATTAATTTTTATTCCAAAAGATGCATTAGGGCTTATTTTCTGGGTAGGCCTTATTTTCAGGGAAATGTGGCACTAAATGCATACGTCTGGCTGACTTTCTTAACTGGGATTTATTTGGAGGGGGTAGGATCTTATTTTCGGGGAAAGGTGGTATGTGTATTGTATGTATCAGCACCTTCCGACTTATACACACCTGTGTGCCAATTTACACTAGGCAGCAACCACTCCCCTACACCTGGTGCAATTGTACCATGGCATCCACCGGTGGGCCTTCCTGCTGTTGGCAACAGCACACCCCGCCCAGCCACATTCATGCCTTGCTGCAGGAATTGTTTACCCAGCCACCTATCAGCCTGCTTGCGAACCACCTAGGACCATTTGAAAACTATTTCTACTTTGTCTAGAGTAAATCTCAATTAATTAAAGCTAGCTAAAATTCAATACGTTTCCTGCAGACTGTTTTAAAAGCAGACATGAAAAAAATAAATCTGTCATCACAGTAGTAATGTAGTGATTAATTCTGCATTTCCCAGTAGTTTCAAGGAGATACTAAAAGACTCAATTCAGATGTCTGAAGAACTTTAAAAGATGAAGATGATAGTTAAACTCCAAACTCAAGATAAAGTTATTGCAAAAGACTTGATTTTGGCAAAATTTAGAAGCCTCACAAAATGATGCCTTAAACCAGAGGCCTCCAAACTTGACAGTTTTAAGACTTGTGGACTTCAACTCCTAGAATTCCTCCTCCAGTCATGTTAGCTTAGATATTCTGGGAGTTGAAGCCCACAAGTCTTAAACTTGCCAAGTTTGAAGACCCTTGCCTTAAACCAATTTTGTGAGAAACCAGAAGACAAGGATAAAATAGTTAACAGCACCCAAAGTCATTGATAATTCCAATAAAATACAGACTTCCCCATGGATACGAAACATTCTTATTCATAAACCAAATGTGTATATCTACCCATTTCACAAAGAGCTACTCTGGACAGCATACAATAAATAATACAACAAATATAAAAACATGTAAAAATCACATTAAAAAGATAATTTATAAAAATAATATAAAAGCCTTAGGCAGAGAGAGAATAAAAATGGCTACCCCAGCAATAAAGTTATCAAGGTATGTCTTCAGAGCTGCAGATCTGATAACATAAATAGGTCTTGAGGGATTTCTGGAATGTCAAGAGATGGAGCCAATCTAATCTTGGAGGAAGAACGTTCCATAAGGCAGGCACCATTTATTCTGGAACCTACCAAATGTAAGCTCCTAGCTGATGATTCAGGCAGCATGCCTTGTCTGACAGATCTCCTGTGATATGCTAATATAATCAGGGAGAGGCAGTCCCTCAGTCCATGCCATGAAGGGCTTTCAAGGTTAAAACCAGCAGCTTGAATTGGATCTGGGAATAAACTGGCAACCAATGCATCTTGTGGAACAGAGGTATAGCATGCACTGTTCAAAGGTGTGCACATACCTAGCTTCTCACTGTCAGCTTGAGGTTTCCAGGCATTCTTCTGCATCTACTTTGTGTCTATTGTTTATAAGACTTAAGTTATTGGAAAATAGTCTTCCCCCCTTCAGCTTGTTTCAAAACCTGGCCTCCTGCTGCCCCATATTACTATATTCCCCACCCCACCCCCACATCCCCATAGCAATACAGATCCAAGCACAAGATTTGGAACTGCAGGTGAAAATAATCACACACAATTCACTCCCTCATTCTTGAACTTCTTTGGGCCACAATTTAAGTTTGTGGACCAAAGGTCCATATTTTACCTCAGAGTAACCTGGTCCCATGTCAGGAAGGCCCTTAAAGGTCAAAAACAGCACCATGGATTTTACCCAGATGTAAATTAGCAACCGATGTAGCACTCAGAATAGAGGTGAAATATGTACCTTCCTAGGGGCCTACATGACACTCTGCCCAGTCACATTCT